TATATATATATATATATATATATATATATATTAGTATATTTTGGTAGCAGTCTTTCCTGTAGACATATTTTATTAAATATGACCGAAAAAGTAAGATTAATAATTCTAACACGAATTTTCTCAATCTTTCGTACATTATGCTTCACTGTTGGAGGTAAATCAAAAATCACTTCTCCAAAATTCATTTTTATTTCTAGTCTGACGCGACACGGGCGCGTTTCGTAAAACTTATTACATTTTCAAAGACTTCACAAATACACAACTGATTAGAACTTGCGTTTCCCTGATTTTATATCTACATTTGAGTGAGGTGGGAAGGGTGATGTGGCATTACATTTGAGTGAGGTGGGAAGGATGATGTGGCATTAGAGGATATTAATAGGGTATTAAAAGTATCAACACAAGACAGAACACGAAACAATGGATATTGAATAGAAGTGTTTGTAGAAAGCCTATTGGTCCATATTTCTTGATGCTTCTATATTGGAGCGGAGTCTTGAGGTGGGTAGAATATAGTTGTGCAATAATTGGCTGTTGATTGCTGGTGTTGACTTCTTGATGTGTAGTGCCTCGCAAACGTCAAGCCGCCTGCTATCGCTGTATCTATCGATGATTTCTGTGTTGTTTACTAGGATTTCTCTGGCGATGGTTTGGTTATGGGAAGAGATTATATGTTCCTTAATGGAGCCCTGTTGTTTATGCATCGTTAAACGCCTAGAAAGAGATGTTGTTGTCTTGCCTATATACTGGGTTTTTTGGAGCTTACAGTCCCCAAGTGGGCATTTGAAGGCATAGACGACGTTAGTCTCTTTTAAAGCGTTCTGTTTCGTGTCTGGAGAGTTTCTCATGAGTAGGCTGGCCGTTTTTCTGGTTTTATAGTAAATCGTCAGTTGTATCCTCTGATTTTTGTCTGTAGGGATAACGTTTCTATTAACAATATCTTTCAGGACCCTTTCCTCTGTTTTATGAGCTGTGGAAAAGAAGTTCCTGTAAAATAGTCTAATAGGGGGTATAGGTGTTGTGTTAGTTGTCTCTTCGGAGGTTGCATGGCTTTTCACTTTCCTTCTTATGATGTCTTCGATGAAACCATTGGAGAAACCGTTATTGACTAGAACCTGCCTTACCCTACAGAGTTCTTCGTCGACTTGCTTCCATTCTGAGCTGTGGCTGAGAGCACGGTCGACGTATGCGTTAACAACACTCCTCTTGTACCTGTCAGGGCAGTCGCTGTTGGCATTTAGGCACATTCCTATGTTTGTTTCCTTTGTGTAGACTGCAGTGTGGAAACCTCCGCCATAGTATCCGTACCCGCATTGAACAACACCTCGACATCCTCACAGACCAACATCACCTCAGCACTGAAACAAGGATTATCAAGAAACTAACAACATTATATGGAGGACCTATGGCAATTCCACGACTAAGAGATGGCTTCCTGAACCTTGCAGGAATTAACCTCACTGAGGACCAAGTCACTCTCCTAAATCTGGGCATAAACTGTCATGTTATGTCCAGACCGAGTGAAATGGCCCGGAAAGTGGAGTTGGAAATTCTGTTGGACGACATATTCGACCTCGAGACACAAAAGAAGGTCACTACCAAAGATACCTTACAAGCAGAACTTATTGCAGAAGGAGGAAAGAATCGAGGCAACTACAGAAGCACCATACTGTCCCCCGAGCTTAGAGCGGCAGCTAAAAGCCTTCGTGAGAACAAGGAGATAGTTGTCAGGAGAGGTGACAAGTCGCCAATATATGTCATTCTTAAAAAAGACGAATATCTGGCGAAAATGAACATCATACTCTCTGACCAAACTAAGTTCCAAAGGGTAACGAAGGACACTACAGCCGAATTAAAAGCAAAGGTCAACAAACTGATCGAAACTGTGAACGCCAAGAAATCCGGACTCCACCTGCCAAAGATCATTGGGGAATATAAACCTGGATATGCGTATGGAAATGTCAAGACGCACAAGCCTGGAAACCCACTTCGGCCAATCATTAGCCAGATACCCACACCCACGTACAGATTGGCGAAGCGACTCAACGGCCTGCTGACTCCTTATGTTCCTTGCGCCTTCAGCCTGAAGTCTCCAAAGGAATTTGTGGACTTACTGCGGGGCGCACGGGCCACAGGGATAAGAGCCTCGTTGGACGTAGAATCGCTGTTTACCAACGTACCTGTGGACGAGACAATCGGAATGATAGCCGACAGAGTGTATCGTGATCCAGCCTGTGCTCCTCTTGACATGCCAGAAAGTATTCTGAGGAAACTACTCCAAGCTTGTACTAAAGAGGCACCCTTCTTGAGCCCGGATGGGCACATGTATAAGCAAGTAGATGGGGTCGCTATGGGTTCTCCCCTAGGTGTCCTGTTTGCAAACTTCTACATGGGTACCATCGAGCAAAAAGTCTTAGTCGACATGAACTTGAAACCGGCCATATACTGCAGGTATGTTGACGACATTTTTACACAGGTACCTGATGTCAGACATCTGCAGGAGCTGAAGGAGGCATTTGAGCAGAGTTCCGTGCTGCGTTTCACTTACGAGACGGAAAAGGATGGGAAGCTGCCTTTTCTAGATGTAACAGTCATGGAAAAGGGCGGAGGTTTCCACACTGCAGTCTACACAAAGGAAACAAACATAGGAATGTGCCTAAATGCCAACAGCGACTGCCCTGACAGGTACAAGAGGAGTGTTGTTAACGCATACGTCGACCGTGCTCTCAGCCACAGCTCAGAATGGAAGCAAGTCGACGAAGAACTCTGTAGGGTAAGGCAGGTTCTAGTCAATAACGGTTTCTCCAATGGTTTCATCGAAGACATCATAAGAAGGAAAGTGAAAAGCCATGCAACCTCCGAAGAGACAACTAACACAACACCTATACCCCCTATTAGACTATTTTACAGGAACTTCTTTTCCACGGCTCATAAAACAGAGGAAAGGGTCCTGAAAGATATTGTTAATAGAAACGTTATCCCTACAGACAAAAATCAGAGGATACAACTGACGATTTACTATAAAACCAGAAAAACGGCCAGCCTACTCATGAGAAACTCTCCAGACACGAAACAGAACGCTTTAAAAGAGACTAACGTCGTCTATGCCTTCAAATGCCCACTTGGGGACTGTAAGCTCCAAAAAACCCAGTATATAGGCAAGACAACAACATCTCTTTCTAGGCGTTTAACGATGCATAAACAACAGGGCTCCATTAAGGAACATGTAATCTCTTCCCATAACCAAACCATCGCCAGAGAAATCCTAGTAAACAACACAGAAATCATCGATAGATACAGCGATAGCAGGCGGCTTGACGTTTGCGAGGCACTACACATCAAGAAGTCAACACCAGCAATCAACAGCCAATTATTGCACAACTATATTCTACCCACCTCAAGACTCCGCTCCAATATAGAAGCATCAAGAAATATGGACCAATAGGCTTTCTACAAACACTTCTATTCAATATCCATTGTTTCGTGTTCTGTCTTGTGTTGATACTTTTAATACCCTATTAATATCCTCTAATGCCACATCATCCTTCCCACCTCACTCAAATGTAATGCCACATCACCCTTCCCACCTCACTCAAATGTAGATATAAAATCAGGGAAACGCAAGTTCTAATCAGTTGTGTATTTGTGAAGTCTTTGAAAATGTAATAAGTTTTACGAAACGCGCCCGTGTCGCGTCAGACTAGATATAAAAATGAATTTTGGAGAAGTGATTTTTGATTTACCTCCAACAGTGAAGCATAATGTACGAAAGATTGAGAAAATTCGTGTTAGAATTATTAATCTTACTTTTTCGGTCATATTTAATAAAATATATATATATATATATATATATATATATATATATATATATATATATATACACATACACATACATACATACATACATATACACACACAATTCTTACATTTTAGTAAAGCCACTAGCATGCATAGCATTTTGGGCAGGTCCTTAATCTTGATTTTTCCCCGGAATACGACTCGTCAAATCGTTTAACGACTAAGTACCTATTCACTGCTAGGTGAACAGAGGCTACAGTTAAGGATTGGCATCCAGTCAATCCTCCCCAGCCAGGATACGAACCCAGGCCAAAGTACTTGCGAATCACCGGGCGAGTGTTTTACCACTGTACGACGGGGACTGCATAGGCCAGTAAGGTAAATATGAGGAGAAAGTGCAAAGCCAGTATGACTACATGGCACTTGTGGTATAAGCAGGTATATAGTGTGCAACCCTTGGCATAAGGTGTATGTAATGAGGTAGCTGCCTCGATCCTATAGTGGATTCCGTTTCATCTACATCAGAGCTTCACCAGCAGAGACAAAGCAGGGACATGACACGTCGTGGTCCTGCACGAGGTAAGCAATATGGGGAAACAGGAGATGATTTTCCCCAGGTGGAGGGCCCCTGAGGCCTACACTACCTCCTCCAACCCAGCTGCCAGACACCCCTCCTTCCCCCCACCACACACACGACCAACAACCAGCTCTCTGGCCATCAAATATAGCCATGAGCGCAACACCATGCACTGGAGTGTCATACATAATCACCAAGTGCGGGTTATTAAAGAGACAGCGAGGAGGGAAGTTTGAATGGTGACAAGATGTCAGTCCTCCAGCCAGGCTGGTCGTCCTCAGCTCCACACCCTCGCTGCTCCTGGCCGCCCCTCACCACACACCCTCTCCCTCACCATCCTCACCTGTAACAGGAACGTCAGGGGCAGCTGGGCTGGTATCCTCTTGGTCTGTGGCATTCACATGTCCCCTTACGCCATTGTTTGGGCCACACTGCTATAAAACATCCTCTCGCACCGGTAAATATATCTCCACTCTCACTCTCAAAATTGTCTAACAAATATTAAAAAAAGTATCTATATGATAATAAAAACTATTTGTTATATTTAATATTAAATTACTTGAGGTTTTAATATAGAATGTTAGGAAGACTGTCTAGGTATAAATTTTCCAGGAGCATTGTTTACCTTGAGGAGCAGACGACGCCGGGCCGCCCGACACTCGTCTCTTATTTAATCATTTGATAATTATCCGATACCTCGATCGTCGTCGCCTCTCAGTCATCAACGTTAGATAGTTTCATTGGGGGTGGGAAGCCTGTGTGTATATATATATACCTTAGGCTTGTATCGAGGTTCTCCAGGGGTCAAACTATGTAACCCTTTAACACCACACCAGACCAACACTATCACCAGACATGCAACACCACACCAGACATAAATATCTCCTTGATATCCCCAGAGTCAAACTTAATCTAATGTAAACACTCTATGTAAATAAGGGGGCCTAGTCTATGGAACTCACTCCCTAATGATTTGAAAAGCTGTCCAACTTTTGCTTATTAAAAAATAAAACCAAAAAGTACCTAATTTCATCTTCAGTTTTCTACCAAGTGCTTTATCTCCACACTGTATCTAGTGCTACTCAATCCACCAATATTTGTACCTAAGCCATATTACTTTAACATTGTAATCTTAGATATCATCTGATATCATGGTTGTTGTATTGAGTGCATTTTCTACTGCATTATTCCTTGAAACTTTTCCTCGAAATGATCCTCATATTGTGCTTCAGTGAACCAATGTATAACCCTGAAATATTATCATTATGTACCTAGTAATCCTAAGGAGGCTTCATTGTGTATTGTTATTATTGTGTATTATTCTGATCTGCTTTTGTGTCAAAATTTCTTCAAATTACCTGTAAACATTTTTTGTTGATTTTACTGTAATTATTCTACTTAAAATTATCTGTACGTGTAAAGAAAAGCTGTAAAATACCTGCTAACATTTTTTATCAATTTTACTGTTAATTTATCAAAACAATTGTTAGTTTAAGGACTTGCCCGAAACGCTATGCGTGCTAGTGGCTGTACAAGAATGTTAATTCAACTTATTTTCTATATTCTCTGTTAACCCCCAATGTAACTTCTTGTATATAAATAAATAAATTTAACAGTTGCCTTACTCTCGGGTACCTATTTACTGCTAGGTGGGTAGAGGGGAAAAGAAACGTGCCAAAACGTTTCTGTCCCACCCGGGGATCGAACCCGATATCCTCAATTGTAAATCCGGCACGTAGCCACTGTACTGCCCTCACCCAACGGCGCAAGGCCCCGACATCGTTTCACAATGCTCTTCAGGAAATCGTCAACGCTAATTCGACTTCGGTAGTCTTTCCTGAGGAAAGGAAGAAGGCCTCCCTTCTCCCCATTCTAAAGCCGGGATAGGATGCTAAGTTTCTATTTCCCAACAGACCAATATGTCTCCTGGCCAAGGCAAACTGCTTGAACGCCTAATGCTTTCGGCTTAACTAATGAGCTGGGAAGTTTAACATCTTTTCGACGCCCGTGAGTCAATCCGTCCTTAGATCAAGTCCATTCCATCCAGTAGCTGACCTTACAGACGCAGTCATCAATTTTTATTTGCTGTTCAATAAAAATAGTAATTTTCTCAATTATAAATTAATATTGCTATATATTAGTATATTGTGCACATTTAGGCATTGATGTGTAAGTACTTCATTTATAATGATGTGCTGCCCGAAGTCTTAGCGAAGTATCCATAATTTGCTTAATGTAAGTAATGCATGCACATGACTGTAAAGCTGCCGCCCAGTTGGGTGGATGTGGAGCACTGTAAAGCTGCCGCCCAGTTGCTGTGGAAAGACTGTAGCTGCCGCCCAGTGGGTGGGTGGGTGTGCCGAGCACATGACTGTAAAGCTGCCGCCCAGTTGGGTGAGTGTGGAGCACATGACTGTAAAGCTGCCGCCCAGTTGGGTGGGTGTGGAGCACATGACTGTGGAACATGACTGTAAAGCTACCGCCACAGTTGGGTGGGTGTGGAGCACATGACTGCAAAGCTGCCGCCCAGTTGGGTGGGTGTGGAGCACATGACTGTAAAGCTGCCGCCCAGTTGGGTGGGTGTGGAGCACATGACTGCAAAGCTGCCGCCCAGTTGGGTGGGTGTGGAGCACATGACTGCAAAGCTGCCGCCCAGTTGGGTGGGTGTGGAGCACATGACTGTAAAGCTGCCGCCCAGTTGGGTGGGTGTGGAGCACATGACTGTAAAGCTGCCGCCCAGTTGTGTGGGTGTGGAGCACATGACTGTAAAGCTGCCGCCCAGTTGGGTGGGTGTGGAGCACATGACTGTAAAGCTGCCGCCCAGTTGGGTGGGTGTGGAGCACATGACTGTAAAGCTGCCGCCCAGTTGGGTGGGTGTGGAGCACATGACTGCAAAGCTGCCGCCCAGTTGGGTGGGTGTGGAGCACATGACTGTAAAGCTGCCGCCCAGTTGGGTGGGTGTGGAGCACATGACTGTAAAGCTGCCGCCCAGTTGGGTGGATGTGGAGCACATGACTGTAAAGCTGCCGCCCAGTTGCGTGGGTGTGGAGCACATGACTGTAAAGCTGCCGCCCAGTTGGGTGGGTGTGCAGCACATGACTGTAAAGCTACCGCCCAGTTGGGTGGGTGTGGAGCACATGACTGTAAAGCTGCCGCCCAGTTGGGTGAGTGTGGAGCACATGACTGTAAAGCTGCCGCCCAGTTGGGTGGGTGTGGAGCACATGACTGTAAAGCTGCCGCCCAGTTGGGAGGGTGTGGAGCACATGACAGTAAAGCTGCCGCCCAGTTGGGTGGGTGTGCAGCACATGACTGTAAAGCTGCCGCCCAGTTGGGTGGGTGTGGAGCACATGACTGTAAAGCTGCCGCCCAGTTAGCAAGACTAGTAACTGTGTGACTCACCATAGATGTAAAGTGCCTTGTATAGTGACTGTTGTGAGCCTCTTGTTGAATCACTTGTGACACAAAAGATTATTGACGTGTGGGTGATTAACTATGTATATGTATGTGTATGTGTATATGTATACGTATGTATATGTACATGTATGCATGAGTATGTGTACATGTATATATAACATTAATAATTTTGTAACTAGCGCCAAAAGATTGTTATTTGCTTAGCTAAACGAACTAGAGGGTTCAGTTCCTGAACTGATTATGTGCCTCTGTAATCCTTTACACCACCGCCCACGGGATGGGTATGGGGTGCATAATAAAGAAAGAAACTGAATTGGTTAAGTTAGGCGTTTAGGTTCTGATGGCGATTATTTGTATTTGTAGTACGTGGGTGAAGCATTTCAACCCGTCCTCGATTCAAGTCCATTACATCCAGCAGTAGACCCCACAGACGCATTCATAAATTTTTACATGCTGTTCATTCAAAACGGGAATTTTACCAAATATAAATTAATATTATAATATATTAGCATATTGTGCATATATAGGCATAGGTTAGGTTAGGTGTTTAGATTCTGTTGGCGATTATTTGCATTTATAGTACGTGGGTGAAGCATTTACAGTGTTGTTCGAACACAACCCCGCATCCTCGACTCAAGTCCATTACATTCAGCGGTCAACCCCACAGACGCATTCATAAATTTTAACATGCTGTTCATTCAAAACGGGAATTTTCTCAAGTATAAATTAATATTATAATATATTAGCATATTGTGTATAAATAGGCATAGGTTAGGTTAGGTTAGGTTAGGTGTTTAGGTTCTGTTGGCGATTATTTGTATTTGTAGTACGTGGGTGAAGCATTTACAGCGTTGTGGTTCGAACAAAAGTCGTCAGTGAAGCACTTGTTCCTGAAGTGCTCGAACGAAATCAGTTGTGAGTCGTGTGTAAACCGTTTTTCATTCATAAACAGCTGGGGTTTGGCGGGTGGATGGAATTACTTTTGGGTATTTGTTTGGAAGACGAGCTGCAAAACTAAACACAGTCTGGGAGAACTGTCAAAACTAAACACAGTCTGGGAGAACTGTCAAAACTAAACACAGTCTGGGAGAACTATCAAAACTAAACACAGTCTGGGAGAACTATCAAAACTAAACACAGTCTGGGAGAACTGTCAAAACTAACCACAGTCTGGGAGAACTGTCAAAACTAAACTAAACACAGTCTGGGAGAACTGTCAAAACTAAACACAGTCTGGGAGAACTATCAAAACTAAACACAGTCTGGGAGAACTGTCAAAACTAAACACAGTCTGGGAGAACTATCAAAACTAAACACAGTCTGGGAGAACTGTCAAAACTAAACACAGTCTGGGAGAACTATCAAAACTAAACACAGTCTGGGAGAACTATCAAAACTAAACACAGTCTGGGAGAACTATCAAAACTAACCACAGTCTGGGAGAACTGTCAAAACTAAACACAGTCTGGGAGAACTATCAAAACTAAACACAGTCTGGGAGAACTATCAAAACTAAACACAGTCTGGGAGAACTGTCAAAACTAAACACAGTCTGGGAGAACTATCAAAACTAAACACAGTCTGGGAGAACTATCAAAACTAAACACAGTCTGGGAGAACTATCAAAACTAAACACAGTCTGGGAGAACTATCAAAACTAAACACAGTCTGGGAGAACTATCAAAACTAAACACAGTCTGGGAGAACTATCAAAACTAAACACAGTCTGGGAGAACTATCAAAACTAAACACAGTCTGGGAGAACTGTCAAAACTAAACACAGTCTGGGAGAACTGTCAAAACTAAACACAGTCTGGGAGAACTGTCAAAACTAAACACAGTCTGCTCTGTTTATTACTGCTCAAAATTGTCCCCTCTTACAGTCGTGCACTTCCTTATTGAATGTCCCGATTTTAAGGACATTGTTTCTTGCTTCTCAACTGTCTCTCGGTGTCATTTATCCCTCGATAGAATCCTTAACGAATCTGATACCTTTGATGTCGCTTTCCTTGTGTGCTTTGTGTGCTCGTGTTGGCATCCTCGGTGATTTTGCTCCTTTTCAATAACCCGCGACACTGATGGTGTTGCATAGTCTCCTCTTTGGAGCCTTCTTTTGATAACTACTTATCCAGTATACAAATGTAGGCTGAATATTTGGTGCTCAAGACCAATAGAACAGGTATAACAATTCTTGCGAAGGGCAGAATAAAGCAAAAACAGTCTTAGGAAACAGATTCCGATGCCTTATCACGAACCTATAGCTACACTTGTACCAGGCTAGCACGAATCTATAGCTACACTTGTACCAGGCTACCACGAACCTACAGCTACACTTGTACCATGCTAGCACGAACCTTCAGCTACTCTTGTACCAGGCTACCACGAACCTACAGCTACTCTTGTACCAGGCTACCACGAACCTACAGCTACACTTGTACCAGGCTAGCACGAACCTTCAGCTACTCTTGTACCAGGCTACCACGAACCATCAGCTACTCTTGTACCAGGCTAGCACGAACCTTCAGCTACTCTTGTACCAGGCTACCACGAACCATCAGCTACTCTTGTACCAGGCTACCACGAACCATCAGCTACTCTTGTACCAGGCTAGCACGAACCATCAGCTACTCTTGTACCAGGCTAGCACGAACCTTCAGCTACTCTTGTACCAGGCTACCACGAACCATCAGCTACTCTTGTACCAGGCTACCACGAATCATCAGCTACTCTTGTACCAGGCTACCACGAACCTACAGCTACACTTGTACCAGGCTACCACGAATCATCAGCTACTCTTGTACCAGGCTAGCACGAACCTTCAGCTACTCTTGTACCAGGCTACCACGAACCTACTGCTACACTTGTACCAGGCTACCACGAACCTTCAGCTACTCTTGTACCAGGCTAGCACGAACCTTCAGCTACTCTTGTACCAGGCTACCACGAACCATCAGCTACTCTTGTACCAGGCTAGCACGAACCTTCAGCTACTCTTGTACCAGGCTACCACGAACCTACTGCTACACTTGTACCAGGCTACCACGAGCCTTCAGCTACTCTTGTACCAGGCTAGCACGAACCTTCAGCTACTCTTGTACCAGGCTACCACGAACCATCAGCTACTCTTGTACCATGATCATCATGAACATGATCTAGGAAAATGTACATACATGGAAAATGAATTACAAATATTGGTTTTCTAGATAGAGCTAATATATACTATACCTAAAGCCACTAATATACACAACGTTTCGGCCAAGATGTGGAAAAAAATTAAGAAAACTAAACCTTAAAACTAATTGAAATCAAAAGCATGTATTGAAATGAAATTAAAAAAAAAAAATAATGACATGAATGGAACAGCAGAAATTGGAAGATAACACCAGATAACTATTTTAACTAGATAACAGACGGACTACAATTTTCTTTACCTTTATACATGGCAGATATCAGCAGGTATAGAAGTTAGACATTAATCATTAATGTTTGATAATAACAAGACATAGGTTGACATTTAGGGGGTAAGGTAGGTTACATGGAGTTGATTAGGTAGTACTTAATAAATAATTATTTAGTTGATAAGGTAGTACTGCAAATATAGGGACCTACCTAGTTTATGGAACTCGTTCCCTAACGAATTGAAAAGCTGTCCAACCTACGCCTTATTCAAAAATAAAACCACAAAGTACCTAATCTGATCCTCCTAGTTTCCTCCCTAGTGCCTTAAACTGGCACTGTATCTTGTGCTACCCACTCCCCCAATATGTGTGCTTAAGCTCTTCAACTTCACTATTGTAATAACTGCTATCATATCTTATGTCATGGGTTGTTATATTGAACACATATTTTACTACATTATACCTATCTTCAGGTTAGCTTGAGATGATTTCGGGGCTTAGCGTCCCCGCGGCCCGGTCCTCGACCAGGCCTCCTTTTTGTTACACCCCCCCCAGGAAGCAGCCCAACCTCTTAAATAAATCAATAATATACGCAATTAAAAGAACATCAAAAAGGTAACACGTGAATACCTGGAGACACACACTGGCAGCAGCGCCCCTGACAAGAGGACAAGCTCAGCTCAGCTACCAACAGTGTCAGCAAGGCGGACAGCCAGCCCGCCTGCTTTCAGCATTCACTAGATTTCCCATTTCCAAACTTCTTCGTCTGTGCCTCTCCATCCTGTTTACACTATTCCCCCCGCCCCCCAAAAGAAAGGATCCCTATCCCCAACCACTATCCAGACCCTCCCCCCCCTATCCCCGGTCCCCAAGCCTGAATCATGGTGCAACACTGTAGCGCTGCCAAGTCGCACATTTAATACACCTTCCTCGTCTACTCAGCAACACACCTGATCGAAAATAAATGGAAAACGCAATGAATTCTCCTACTACAATTTTTGAGTTAATAATGTGTGACTTTAAATGTTTTGTAAATAGCGAATACCTTATTATTTGGTAACGGCGGGGCGTTCAACATCTGGCAACGTGCGGGCTTCTTCAGTCAAGTTAGAGTTGAGAAGAGCGAGGGAGCAGGCGTGGACACACTCCTGCCAGGGAACCTATATTAGTGAGTATCATGGCGCTCTTTAAGTCACCGTGTACCATGTTACCCATCCTGTGAGTCATCCTGTGAGTGGTGGGGAACCTTGCGTCCACTGAGCGGTTGATGTCCTCATCTTGTGAGCTGTAGGGGACCCACATTTAAATTATGGGTATTCACCTAGTTCACCTAGTTGTGCTTGCGGGGGTTGAGCTCTGCTCTTTCGGCCCGCCTCTCAACTGTCAATCAACTGTTATTAATTACTAACTAATTTTTTTTTCCGTACATACACATTCCCCCCCCCCCCTAGGAAGCAGCCCGTAACAGCTGTCTAACTCCCAGGTACCTATTTACTGCTAGGTAAAAGAGGCATCAGGGTGAAAAAAAATCGAACCCGGACCCAAGGATTACGAGTCCAGAGCGCTGTTTACTCAGCTATTAGGCCCCCTCTAATTGTGCTTGCGGGGGTTGAGCTTCGGCTCTTTGGTCCCAGCTCTCAACAGTTAATAAAGAGGTGTACAGGCTCCTGAGCCTATTGGGTTCTATTATATTGACATTTGAAGCTATGGAGTCTGCCTCCACCACATGACTTCCTAATTCATTCCGTGTATTAACTACTGATACTGAAAAACAGTATGTGTAATGTCTGGCTCATTTGAGTACTCAGTTTCCAGCTGTGTCCCCTTGTGCGAGTACCACTCGTGTTAAATAATCTTTATATACCCTGTCAATTCCCCTAGGTGTTTGGTATGTGGTAATCATGTCTCCCCCAACTCTTGTCTTCCAGCGACGTGAGGTGCAATTCACGCAGTTCAATTCAATTCCGTGTAGTTCATACCTCGTTGTTCTGGAACTAGTCTAATGGCCTAACTAGTCTAACTAGCCTTTGAACCTTTTCTAACTTCGTCTTATACTTGACAAGGTATGGATGGCTTCAACGCTGGAGCCGCATATACCAAATTGGTTTGATATAATAATAATAATAACTCATTGTGTCTGGGGGACAGGAAGCCAGAGTGTATTCATACACGTTAGTCTTATATCGGTGTCTTAACCCCCCCCCCCATAATGTTGAGTTACTGACCCCGCTCAGGAAGCAGCACCACAACAAGCTGACTAACTCCTGGGTGCCTACTTTCTGCTAGGTGAACAGATGTATTAGGTGATAGGAAATGCCCCCAACCATTTCTCTCCCGGCCGGGATTCGAACCCGGTATTCTTGATTGTGAGTCGAGAACGAGCCCGACTGTACTACCGTTAACTTACTTTGTAATATACCTTAACATACCTGGTATACGACGAATGTGGTATACAAGATTCCAAATGATTCCTTACACATCTTCCCAGGAGTAGTTATGATGTAAGCCAGCCTCGCATACGCCGCTGATGATATCATTTAGGTGTCCCGCAATGCTATGTTAGTGGCATTGCAAGAATGTAGAAACACCAATGTTATGTATTCTCATAAACCCAATTTTCCTTGGGAAAATAAGTATATAAATGTGGGGTTCAAGATACAGGTTTGGCGTGATATGAACTCCTAGCTCATTCTGTCCGTTTCAGAGGGATTTTGTTGGCCATTTGGTACCTTGTCTGGCCTCCTGCTCCCTCCACTTAGCTTCATTGCTTTACATTTACTTTTAAACTCTAGTAGCCATTTGTTAGACCATTCCTTCAGTTTGTCCAGGTCATCTTGTATCATGTTGCCAGTAGCAGGGATGGCACCTTAAACAGGATATTTTTTTTTTAATATCCCGTGTAAGGAGCGGGGGGGGGGGGGGGGGGTTCAGGTAAACTCTACGGACAATGTTTGTTTGTTTTCAAAATCACTCATTTGGACTTAAATGGGAAAAATAATTTCAGAGATCATTGAAGTTTGTTAAGAGTTCATATGGAGAAAATTCAAAATTTTTCAGTTCTAATTTCTTTGAGTCCAAATAATTTCTTCAGAGTCCAAATAATTTCTTTGAAATTATTTGTTCTAAAATAGTCTGTCATATTTGGGTCTAAAATAATCTCTCAAATTTCGGTAAATTTCGGTCTTCAAATGGTCTCTGTCATTTTTTATGGTCATAAATGGACTCTGAAGAAAATAGGCCATCAAATGGTCTCTGAATAATGTTTAGGTGTTTAAGCTGGTCTCTGTTCAATTTCGGTGTTTACAGGTGAAAATAGCTGTAAAGGGATATAAAAACTAAAAGTCACGGCTAAGATGCCTATTTTCCTTAACAAAACTTCTATGACTATGTTCTCTGAAAGTGGTCTTTTTGAATAATTTCGATCTTGGGCGCAATTCCTTAACTGTAGCCTCTGTTTCGTAAATGAAAAAAAACTTCGTATGATTATACGCTGAACTCAAGAATGTAAATATTTTCATAAAAACTGAAAACTCTGAACTCTGAAAAATTTTGAATTTTCCCCATAAGAACTCTTAACAAACTTCAATGATCTCTGAAATTATTTTTCTCATTTGAATTCTTTAAGTCCAAATGAGTGATTTTGAAAACAAACAAAAATTGTCCATAGAGTTTACCTGAAACCCCTCCCCCCCCCAGCGCCTTACACGGGATATTTAAAAAAAAATCCTGTTTAAGGTGCCATCCCTACTACTGTACATTGAGAGGAGAGGAACTAGTCTATTCTCTCTAGGAGATTGTTTACATATATCAGAAATAGTATTAGGTGCAAGGACTGAACCTTGAGGGACCCCCATTAGAGACATCTCGCCACTCTGAGACCTCACCCTTGAGTCGCTGGCTTCTGGTGATTTGGTACTCATTCACTGGAGCACCTTCCCTCTTATTCTTGCCTGCGTGTCC